CGTGCATATTTGTTGATAAAGTTTTATCATAATAGTTTTGAATGTTCTACCTCACTTTGTGAAGTGATCCACTGTTTGGCCTCACGTGTTCTGACCATAAAGAAAAGTTTAAATCAGGTTTCTTCAACTTTCACTTGTACTGTTATACAAGCTGCACGCTCACTACTTTACACTGTTATACAAGATACAAGCTGTACGCTCACTACTTTACACTGTTATACAAGCTGTACGCTCACTACTTTACACTGTTATACAAGCTGCACGCTCACTACTTTACACTGTTATACAAGATACAAGCTCACTACTTTACACTGTTATACAAGATACAAGCTGTACGCTCACTACTTTACACTGTTATACAAGCTGCACGCTCACTACTTTACACTGTTATACAAGCTGTACGCTCACTACTTTACACTGTTATACAAGATACAAGCTGTACGCTCACTACTTTACACTGTTATACAAGCTGTACGCTCACTGCTTTACACTGTTATACAAGCTGCACACTCACTACTTTACGCTGTTATACAAGCTGTACGCTCACTACTTTACACTGTTCTACAAGCTGCACGCTCACTACTTTACGCTGTTATACAAGCTGCACGCTCACTACTTTACACTGTTATACAAGCTGTACACTCACTACTTTACGCTGTTATACAAGCTGTACGCTCACTACTTTACACTGTTATACAAGATACAAGCTGTATGCTCACTACTTTACACTGTTCTACAAGCTGCACGCTCACTACTTTACACTGTTATACAAGCTGTACGCTCACTACTTTACACTGTTCTACAAGCTGCACGCTCACTACTTTACACTGTTATACAAGATACAAGCTGTACGCTCACTACTTTACACTGTTATACAAGCTGTACGCTCACTACTTTACACTGTTCTACAAGCTGCACGCTCACTACTTTACACTGTTATACAAGCTGTACGCTCGCTACTTTACGCTGTTATACAAGCTGCACGCTCACTACTTTACACTGTTATACAAGCTGCACGCTCGCTACTTTACGCTGTTACACAGGCTGCACGCTCACTACTTTACACTGTTATACAAGCTGTACGCTCACTACTTTACGCTGTTCTACAAGCTGCACGCTCGCTACTTTACACGGTTCTACAAGCTGCACGCTCGCTACTTTACACGGTTCTACAAGCTGCACGCTCGCTACTTTACACGGTTATACAAGCTGGACGCTCGCTACTTTACACTGTTACACAGGCTGCACGCTCGCTACTTTACACTGTTCTACAAGCTGCACGCTCGCTACTTTACACGGTTATACAAGCTGCACGCTCGCTACTTTACACTGTTATACAAGCTGCACGCTCGCTACTTTACACGGTTATACAAGATACAAGCTGTACGCTCACTACTTTACACTGTTATACAAGCTGTACGCTCACTACTTTACACTGTTCTACAAGCTGCACGCTCACTACTTTACACTGTTATACAAGCTGTACGCTCACTACTTTACGCTGTTATACAAGCTGTACGCTCACTACTTTACGCTGTTATACAAGCTGCACGCTCACTACTTTACACTGTAATACAAGCTGTACACTCACTACTTTACGCTGTTATACAAGCTGTACGCTCACTACTTTACACTGTTATACAAGATACAAGCTGTACGCTCACTACTTTACACTGTTCTACAAGCTGCACGCTCACTACTTTACACTGTTATACAAGCTGCACGCTCACTACTTTACACTGTTCTACAAGCTGCACGCTCACTACTTTACACTGTTATACAAGATACAAGCTGTACGCTCACTACTTTACACTGTTCTACAAGCTGCACGCTCACTACTTTACACTGTTCTACAAGCTGCACGCTCACTACTTTACACTGTTATACAAGCTGTACGCTCACTACTTTACGCTGTTATACAAGCTGTACGCTCACTACTTTACGCTGTTATACAAGCTGCACGCTCACTACTTTACGCTGTTATACAAGCTGTACGCTCACTACTTTACACTGTTCTACAAGCTGCACGCTCACTACTTTACGCTGTTATACAAGCTGCACGCTCACTACTTTACGCTGTTATACAAGCTGTACACTCACTACTTTACACTGTAATACAAGCTGTACACTCACTACTTTACGCTGTTATACAAGCTGTACGCTCACTACTTTACACTGTTATACAAGATACAAGCTGTACGCTCACTACTTTACACTGTTCTACAAGCTGCACGCTCACTACTTTACACTGTTATACAAGCTGTACGCTCACTACTTTACACTGTTCTACAAGCTGCACGCTCACTACTTTACACTGTTATACAAGATACAAGCTGTACGCTCACTACTTTACACTGTTATACAAGCTGTACGCTCACTACTTTACACTGTTCTACAAGCTGCACGCTCACTACTTTACACTGTTATACAAGCTGTACGCTCACTACTTTACACTGTTCTACAAGCTGTACGCTCACTACTTTACACTGTTATACAAGCTGTACGCTCACTACTTTACACTGTTCTACAAGCTGCACGCTCACTACTTTACACTGTTATACAAGATACAAGCTGTACGCTCACTACTTTACACTGTTATACAAGCTGTACGCTCACTACTTTACACTGTTATACAAGCTGTACGCTCGCTACTTTACGCTGTTATACAAGCTGCACGCTCGCTACTTTACGCTGTTATACAAGCTGCACGCTCACTACTTTACACTGTTATACAAGCTGCACGCTCGCTACTTTACGCTGTTCTACAAGCTGCACGCTCGCTACTTTACACGGTTCTACAAGCTGCACGCTCGCTACTTTACACGGTTATACAAGCTGCACGCTCGCTACTTTACACTGTTATACAAGCTGCACGCTCGCTACTTTACACGGTTATACAAGCTGGACGCTCGCTACTTTACACTGTTATACAAGCTGTACGCTCACTACTTTACACTGTTCTACAAGCTGCACGCTCACTACTTTACACTGTTATACAAGCTGTACGCTCACTACTTTACACTGTTCTACAAGCTGTACGCTCACTACTTTACACTGTTATACAAGCTGTACGCTCACTACTTTACACTGTTATACAAGCTGCACGCTCACTACTTTACGCTGTTATACAAGCTGCACGCTCACTACTTTACGCTGTTATACAAGCTGTACGCTCACTACTTTACACTGTTCTACAAGCTGCACGCTCACTACTTTACACTGTTATACAAGATACAAGCTGTACGCTCACTACTTTACACTGTTATACAAGCTGTACGCTCACTACTTTACACTGTTCTACAAGCTGCACGCTCACTACTTTACACTGTTATACAAGCTGTACGCTCACTACTTTACACTGTTCTACAAGCTGTACGCTCACTACTTTACACTGTTATACAAGCTGTACGCTCACTACTTTACACTGTTCTACAAGCTGCACGCTCACTACTTTACACTGTTATACAAGATACAAGCTGTACGCTCACTACTTTACACTGTTATACAAGCTGTACGCTCACTACTTTACACTGTTATACAAGCTGTACGCTCGCTACTTTACGCTGTTATACAAGCTGCACGCTCGCTACTTTACGCTGTTATACAAGCTGCACGCTCACTACTTTACACTGTTATACAAGCTGCACGCTCGCTACTTTACGCTGTTCTACAAGCTGCACGCTCGCTACTTTACACGGTTCTACAAGCTGCACGCTCGCTACTTTACACGGTTATACAAGCTGCACGCTCGCTACTTTACACTGTTATACAAGCTGCACGCTCGCTACTTTACACGGTTATACAAGCTGGACGCTCGCTACTTTACACTGTTATACAAGCTGTACGCTCACTACTTTACACTGTTCTACAAGCTGCACGCTCACTACTTTACACTGTTATACAAGCTGTACGCTCACTACTTTACACTGTTCTACAAGCTGTACGCTCACTACTTTACACTGTTATACAAGCTGTACGCTCACTACTTTACACTGTTATACAAGCTGCACGCTCACTACTTTACACTGTTATACAAGATACAAGCTGTACGCTCACTACTTTACACTGTTATACAAGCTGTACGCTCACTACTTTACACTGTTCTACAAGCTGCACGCTCACTACTTTACACTGTTATACAAGCTGTACGCTCACTACTTTACGCTGTTCTACAAGCTGCACGCTCGCTACTTTACACGGTTATACAAGCTGCACGCTCGCTACTTTACACTGTTATACAAGCTGCACGCTCGCTACTTTACACGGTTATACAAGCTGGACGCTCGCTACTTTACACTGTTACACAGGCTGCACGCTCGCTACTTTACACTGTTCTACAAGCTGCACGCTCGCTACTTTACACGGTTCTACAAGCTGCACGCTCGCTACTTTACACGGTTCTACAAGCTGCACGCTCGCTACTTTACACGGTTATACAAGCTGGACGCTCGCTACTTTACACTGTTCTACAAGCTGCACGCTCGCTACTTTACACTGTTACACAGGCTGCACGCTCACTACTTTACACTGTTACACAGGCTGCACGCTCGCTACTTTACACGGTTACACAAGCTGCACGCTCACTACTTTACACTGTTACACAGGCTGCACGCTCGCTACTTTACACGGTTATACAAGCTGGACGCTCGCTACTTTACACTGTTCTACAAGCTGCACGCTCACTACTTTACACTGTTATACAAGCTGCACGCTCACTACTTTACACTGTTCTACAAGCTGCACGCTCACTACTTTACACTGTTATACAAGCTGCACGCTCGCTACTTTACACGGTTCTACAAGCTGCACGCTCGCTACTTTACACGGTTATACAAGCTGCACGCTCGCTACTTTACACTGTTACACAGGCTGCACGCTCGCTACTTTACACTGTTATACAAGCTGCACGCTCACTACTTTACACTGTTATACAAGCTGCACGCTCACTACTTTACACTGTTATACAAGCTGCACGCTCACTACTTTACACTGTTCTACAAGCTGCACGCTCACTACTTTACACTGGAGCAAAGTGTCTTTCTTCAGTGTCGTCACATGAAAAGATAGAATCCGATATTTACAAACATGTGAGGGGTGGACTCACTTCGTGAGATGCTGTATCTGGGAGATAAATACTAAACCCCTTTTTATTTGAATGTAGTGAAGTGTACACAAGTGTAGTGAAGTGGTTAAAAGTTCCCCAGAGACAACACAGAGGGCCTTTGTGTTATTCTGTTCAACTTGCATCAAACACTTCAAAACACTTAGATGAAGTTATGAATCATTCATTTTCTGCTAGAAGATCAGTTTTAGGCTGGAGTTCTGCTTTATTATCATAATAAGGAGGCTGTCAGTCACTTTGAACTGTCTTGTTTTGTGTTTATTGATGTAAAATGCTTTGGTTGACCTCAGCAGAGCGGCGCTTCAGGCTGCCGTGGCCTACATCTGTCACTGTCCAAATCAATAGAGATGACAGAAGAAGAAGTCGTCAATCCCCTGTACAGACGGATGATGCTGCGCACTGATTGGCTGATCCTCCAGGCCCCTCCCCCATGCCTCGCCTCCTGTGGGATGACAGGAGAGACACATAAATAACACTGCGGACACCTCCGAGTACCAGATGTCTGTCTGTACGAGGTTTCCACAGTCATCTGTTCGTCTCTCCCTCCTCTCTGCAGGAAACCGGAGTTCATTATTTCCTGCGTTGGTGTTGGTCCTTAAAGGTACCATCAGAAAGCCTTTTTCACTGGCTGAAAGCTGAGCGTGTGAACGCACCACGGAGGACAGAAGCAGGTGTTTTTGCACTTTTTTTAGGTGGATTTGGGGGGCGGTGAAGCTGCAGGTCTGACGTTTGCGGTTCAGGCTGTTGGAACTGATCTGGGATCAGGTTCAGGATGGAGCTGAAGGACTTCTGTCTGACAGACCGCTATCCCTTCATCAGTCCACAGCGGTGAGAAACAGCTCGCTCATTATTTATTTCAAGTATTTCTTCTGTGATGTTCAACTTGTTTCAAACACTTCAAAGCACTTTTAGATAAAGTTAGAAAGAGAAACATAACTTCTGCCACTGTAACAGCAGCACCAGGAGTACTTTTACTGCTACAAGGTGTAGATAAGTAGTACTTTTTATACGATGCTGGAAGTCTGAGGGTGATGCTTATAGCAATATTTAGGAGTTTAAATAAAACAGATATGTCAGCTGTTGATTTGGTTTTTTAATAGAAGCAACTATTTTGGTCATTTAAAGGATCATTATCTAAGATGTGAATAAAACTTCCCAGGAAAATAACTTTAATACCAGCTTTAAACAACAACAACAACAACACAGGTGAACTATAAAGTCTGAACTATAAATCATTAAATTCACTGATGTCTTGAAACATTAGACACAAACATGGCTCACTCCACGTTCACGTCTGAGGTAATACGCTGTGCAGAGGTGTCCCCTTTTTTAAAACATTGTTCTGAAAATAACAACAATAAATGTTAACTTACAACTGAAAAAGCTTAGAGAAAGGTTTATTTGCACAATAACAAAACATGCAATGCAAAGTAAATATAGAAGAAACAAATGTGCATTGACCAAATAAGTAACCCTCCTTAAAAAAATCCTTTTTTTTTTTTGAATTGTCACCTGAATTTTGTGTTTCTTTCTAAAACTAAAGACATTTCCGCCATAAATTGGTGCAGAAAATGTCTCCAGAATGCAGGAAATTAACTGTTTAATGGTCAAAAACAACCCAGAACCCCCCCCCACTCACATATTTCAGCACTGAAGATTTAATTAAAACAACGTTAAATGTCTTCTGGTCTTGTTCACGTGACCCCAATATCGTCCCCACCACTTTCCAACACAAAGCAAAGCAACGCCCCGGGGGCTGTCGTGTAAACGTGTAAATTCACAGCAGCACGTTCACTACTAGTTTTAATAGTAGGAGCAGTTTTAGCAGGCGAAACAGGTTTTTCCACTGAAATCTACCCACAGACAGAAATCTGTGCTTCTACAGTACGTTTCCAAAAACCGTGTCACGCTGTTTAAAATGTAAATAGAAACAAAATGTGAAGGTGTGCAAAACAGTGAAACCCCACATTTAATAGCAAAAAGCACAAAGAAAACTCAAGAAACTGAAGACAATTTTATGTTTTTGGAAGATATGCCAATTTTCAAATTGATGCCAGCAACAAATTTCAAAAACAGTTGTGACACTGGCAACAAAAGACTGGAAAAGTTGTGAAATGCTAAAAGAAAACACCAACGTAGACAAACAAAAAGTTTAACTTTCAGTGTTTCTCACTAGAAGGCATTATGAGCATCTGCGAGGTCTAACGAACACGCGGAATTACTTGCTCTTTTTCTTCACTGCCTTTGTCGGCACATCGCTACGATTCCTGGCGAGGCAGCGTCAGGTATTTCACAGAGCGCCGAGGAGGACGGGTCAACAAGACATCAGAGTTCAAATCCGCTCACTTCCTGTTTGACCCAACTAAGAGTCTTCAATTAATTTACTTGAGTCAAAGTGCAAAAGTACCTGCTTTTAAAAAGTAAAAATCTTTTTAGTGTGGTTTGTCATTTAAAAAAAAAAACAGTTGACAATTAAATTTCTGTCAATCAACAAAGTGTTTCAGCTGTACTCCTATAAACTGTTGGGGAGTTTAAACAAAACTTTACATTTTATAAACTCTGTGTAAAAATCTGACTTCGTAAAGTAACTGAAGCTGTCAGATAAATGTGGTGAAGTATAAAGTACAACATCTCCCTCTGAGACGGAGCAGAAGAACAAATTATTATAGTATTTGTACTATACTTAAGTACAATACTAAATGTACTTAGTTACTGTCCACCACTGACCAACCCTGTCATTTTAACCCAAACCTTCTCCACCGTGTTCATAAAACAAACCGTCCCTGCAGGATTTCGCGGGTTTTGCGGCAGCTTTTCTAAAATATTGCGATGAAATTGTGGGAATAAGTGAAAACTGCAAAGACTTTTATATTTAGAATAATAGTTGAATAATAATAATAACTGAGACATTAAAAAAAGCTTTCTCAAAATATTCCAACACTGGACCCTGACCCTGCGTATTTAAACCAGCTGACCTTGATTCTGTCCTGCAGCGTCTCAGCGTCTCGTCTGACGTCCTCCGTGAGTTTCTGACGTTCTCTCTCAAAGCGTTTGTCAGGAGACGATCTCCTTTATGTTCGACCACGACGCTGCACGCTCTGCAGAACAGTTTCCCCGCTTTGGTGACGAAGATCTGGATCCTGGTCTTCACGGTGCCCTTTGCTGTTATTGTTGTACATAAACGTGAGACGTTGGCGTCGCACGCGTCTGCTGGTGTCTTCTGAACGAGGAAGTGAGTTTGCTGACGTGTGACAACGTTTAGCAGGAGGTCAGATTTGTGGAAAAGTTGCGGTGATTGGTCGAAGTCGAGCTGACTCACGGGGATTTGTTGAATCCGTGTTAATAGTCGTGACGTCCTGCAGGAACTGATAAAACTGGTTTGTTTCCCAGCAGTGACTGGTAGCACTGGTTTTTGGGGAGAATATCCCGATGATGTCGTCCTGCTGAACGAGGCGTTAGATTATAAATCTTAAATGTTTTGTTCTGGAGAAAAGGACTTGTTGATTAGCACGTTAGCACCGCGTCTAATACGTCCATGCATGAAAACGTTTCTCCACAGCGCCAACTAGTGGTCAAAAAACCCCACAAACTAGCTTTAATGTAAAGACTCAGGATCAAGATCAAATATTTACTGAGTAGAGTTTGAAGTAGAGACAACAAACCCTTTGTTCTGTAAACGAGGTGAAATGATGTCACGTGACGAGTGTGAACAGGAAGTGTTTCTTAAAGGAAAGAAATCCTGGTTTTATTCTGAAAATCCCAGATTTGTTTCAGTGTCTGATCTTCAGCTGTTTAATCTCACACTTTTCTTCCTCCTCAGCCTCTTGGACTCCTCCTCCTCCTCCTCCTCCTCCTCCTCTCCAGCTGATGAAGCTCAGTCTCCGGCCTCCTTCCTCCACTCCTCCCCCCTCAGTCCCGCCTTCCCCCTGGACGCCACGCCCGCTCTCAGCCCGTCACACCCGGCCTTCCTCCTCCCCAGCCCGGCCCACTCCTCCTCCTCCTCCTCTTCCTCCTACAGCCTCCTCTGTGGAGCGCCGGAGCCCGACTCCCCGACAGGATCTAGTTCCAGCGGAGGAAGCGTCGGAGGCAGCGCCGTGGTGTCCGAGGCTGCCGTGCGTTTCTCGTTGTCACAGACGGGTTCGTTTTCAGCACAGGTGAAGAATTTTACTGTTTGGATTCATCCGCCGCTGAAAATAGTCCCCAACAAATGCACGTTTCCTCCTGATCGAGTCACATTTTAAAAGTGAAACCAGATAGAACTACTGTGAGGTGTCTTCAGGGGGTGGCGATGGTGCAGTGGATCAGACACGTGCCTTTAGTGTGAGAGACCCGGGTTCAATCCCCCACTGCGACCATTGTGTCCCTGAGCAAGCCACTTAACCCCTCGCTGCTCCAGAGGCGTGCGACCTCTGACATGTACAGCAGTTGTAAGTCGCTTTGGATAAAAGCGTCAGCTAAATGAATAAATGTAAATGTCTTCAGAGAAGACAGGAAGTTATAAAGCGCGTAGCGACTGACGGGGTCAGCTGGCAACATGCTAGCGCTCTTAGCTTCTTCCTCTTTTCTCTGACATTTCATTCATTAAAGAGTCGCTGAAGAGAGAAAGAAGCTCAGGCTGCTAACGGGTCGACAAAGCTGTGTGTCAGTTCGGATACTTCGGTTAGCAGACGAACATGCAGTACGCGGATCATTCTAGCCGCCGACTGATCGCGATTATCGCCCCGACACATCTGCCGGCTTCTTTGTGCACTTGAGTTTTATTAAAAATGTTCCTTCTCTGCAAGTTTGAAAACACGTTGGTGGTCCCTCCTCTTCTGCTACGTAGCCAAGATGGCGACTGTTGAGCGGGAGAAGTGTCCGGCGTCCCAAACTCAACTTTTCCACCGTTATGAGTGCACCGTCTGGGAACATAACTTGTTAAAAACGTTCTGAAATACAGCTTGTAGTTAAATAACAAATGAAAGGTTTATTTGCACAATTAAAATTTAGAAGAAACAAAAGTGTGTTGTCCAAAAAAAGTAACTTCAGCTAAAAATAAAAACAAGCTGCTGATTATAAAATGACCCAAAAACGTGCAGCAGCAGTCAGGAACTTTAACAACTTCTCTCCCTGTGAACTAAATCATGCCTGCATGTGTGCTGCCTCTCATTTCCACCACAATGCAGGAAATGAAGTGTTTACACTGCAAAAACTAGATTAATTATCTTAATTGAAGGCAAAATAAACTTGTTTTTTGTCTAACAAGATATTTCTTAAGAATTTCACCTGTTTCAAGGTTTTCTGTCCTTCAGTATCAAGTGAAATATTCTTGTTCTGTTGGCAGATAATTTTGCTTATTTTAAGGAACATTTCCCCCATTTTAAAGCTTTTCCCCTTGTTTTTGAGAGCTGACTTTTTGCAGATATCTCGGCATTGAGGATGTCTTTAAAACACGTTAAGGATCTTTTGGTCTCGTTCTCGTGAACCTAACGTTGTGTATCGTGATGTCTCGTGAGTGTCTCGTGATCTGAGCCCCTGTGTCCCCACCACTTTTCAACAGCCTTGCCTGAGACACAGCAGCAGTTTATACTCACGTTTTTAATTTGGTGGATAAAGTTTTAAATGCTGGTGAACACGTTTAAAGAGATTTGTCGACCAGAAAGAAATCCAGATCATTTAATGAGGTCGACTCAGTGACGTGGCAGCAGAGTGTTTCCTCTCTGCAGGTGGACTCCATCCTGAGGGGCGACTTCCTGACGCCGATGGGCGCCGCGGGGCCAAAGAGGCTCTGTCTGGTGTGCGGCGACTTCGCCTCCGGGTATCACTACGGCGTGGCGTCCTGCGAGGCCTGCAAGGCTTTCTTCAAGAGGACCATACAAGGTGAGAGCGACAGGGTGTGTTTGTTAATCAGTAAGAGTCGTAATGAGCAGAGCCGGTCGATGCAGCTCAACACCCGCTGCATTGATTAGTGTGTGAAGCTGTGAGCTCACACATCAGCTGCGGATTCAGACCTGCAGCATCGCAGGCTCAGACGAGTGATTGATCTGATCAGTTCAGTCATCTGCACACGTTTTCACAGATCTATGGAAACAAAGAGTGGCCAAAACACTTTTGTCCCTTATAGAAAGTAAGTAAAAATTGACTCAAGTACTGTACTCAAGTACAATACTGTAGTATTTCCATTTCCGGCTACTTTTGACTTCTACTCTGCAGAAATATTGCAGTACATTTATCTGACTGTTTTAGTTACTAGTCAGTTTTCATGTTAAACATTTGTGATCAGTTTAAGAAATATGCATTCTTATAAATTACACTATATATATATATATATATATATATATATATAAAAACTTTATTTGTATAGCACTTATCAAACAAAGTGCTTCACAGAGAGATGAGACACAGGAGTGAAATATTGAAGACAAGAAAGGCAAGCCGAAATAAAAAACAACAAATAAAATATAACTTGAAATTGCACAAGATAAAATAAACAGGAAATAAAATAATAATATATTTATTTATAATTAAATCCCAAAGTGCTACATGATAAAAATAGCTAAGTACTAAAAAGAATTAATTAATTAAATTAAACAAAACAAAATAGATGACATTTTGCAGGAGTTAAATTTTAATGCTTCAGTATTTGTACTTTTGAATGCAGGTCTTTACTTGTACTGGAGTATTTTATACTGTGGCATTATTACTTTTACTTGAGTAAAATATCCCAACACATCTTCCACCTCTGCCCACTTATACTGAAATGTAATTTATTTATTTATTTCAAAAACTGTTTCTCTGAAGCTTCATAGTTTGAATTCTCCTGTAACTTGAAACTGTTTCACTTCAGAAAACATTCGTGCAATTAGAAGTCGGCCGTATTTATTGCTGAGTATGCGATAATATACCGAACTTATGCTCATCTTCGTTTCTTCTCCTGTGAGATTAAGAGCAAACCAGGAGTGAGGAGCTCCACCTCACAGGTGGAGAGGAAAAGAGTTAACTGAGGCATTTTAAAACCTCTGATGTTGGACTCCATGATGAAACTGGCTTTGTGAATCAGGGTCAGGGTCCATCGATCACTGCGTCGATGCTCAACAGTGTGAGTATCATCAGTCAATATCCTGTTAACAGGACTCTGGAGCTTAAGCCCCAATAAACACTTGTGGGGGGAGGGGGGGGGGGGGGGTCTGGACAGACTATAGATTTCTGTGAGAATACACAAGATGGAAAGACAACACAAGGAATCAAACAGAGGACACGCATTTAAAACCCTTATTTTTATTACTCAGACAAAAACAGTATTTTAACATGTTTGATATGTTGTTGATGCTTTAATGTAAAAATGTCTCCGTTGTCTGTCTGTCTCTCTTCAAAGCTACAAATAAACTTCAATTCATTTCACACATTTCATTTGATAAGTAAACAAAACAAGTTCTTTGTGTTAAAAAAATAAAAAGAAAGAAAGAAAACAGTAAAAATAAATAAATAAAAAATCTGTATCAAATGTGAAATTTTAAAACAAAAATAAAAGATATAAATATCAAACAATCAAAATAATAATTTGAAAATTAGGACAATTATTTATCAGTCTCTCTCTCTCTAGGCAACATCGAATACAGCTGCCCGGTGATGAACCAGTGTGAGATCACCAAGCGGAGGAGGAAAGCCTGTCAGGCCTGCCGCTTCCAGAAATGTCTCCAGGCCGGGATGATGAGGGAAGGTACGTCACGCCGGCCTGTCAGAGTCTGTGCAGCACTGTTGAGCCTGAGACTGTTGGTACGTCTTATTGGAAAGTCAGAGTTGAAGTTTAAAGGCAAAGAGAGGACAAGACACGCAAAACTTTTCCAGACGAAACAATTACAAACTACAAAAAGATGTAAAACGACGACAGACACAAAACGATCACAAAGACACGGCTGTTTCATTTGTGGTCAGTTTGTGTGTCTTTCAGCTGACCAATCACTGAACAGATTCAGATTGTAGGGCCGTTGTTGTCGGGATACGCCCGTGGTTCCTCCTCTCCAACCTCAGACCTGGATGCATTCCGGGTCAGGTGCTGCAGGCCGACGCACAGTTACCTGACAGGTAAAGCTCCTCTCTGTGTTGCAGGTGTTCGGATGGACCGAGTGAGAGGAGGACGGCAGAAGTACAAGAGGCGGGTGGAGACGGGACTGAGTTTATACGCCAAAGCCCCGTACAGCCACGCCGTCAGCAGCCGTGAGTTCACACGTTCACACTCAGGGTTTTAATTTCAGTCACACTTCATGTTTATGTTGGAGACGTTTCTTTAATTATTACCTGTCTTTTAGGAAACAAGGTGATTTCCCATTTGCTGCTGACAGAGCCCGCCCCGTTGGCCGCCAATCAGGACGATTCGACCAATGACAGCAGCCTGCGGACCCTGCTGACCCTGTGTGACCTCCTGAACCGGGAGCTGCTGGTTCTGATTAGCTGGGCCAAACAGATACCAGGTACATATTCAAGTCACCTGGTGGGGGAGGAACCTTCTTACCCGTTTGATAAATCAGTAATACGTTGTTCTGATCTAATAATATACAGCGGATTTGTCTGAATTGTGACTGTTGTGGGTTTTGTATTTGGCCTGATACCTCTGGGCCACCGTACAGAACACGCCGTAACACCTGCTACTATCGTAATCACAAGATCACAAGCACTTTCATTAATGGCACAACTGGCAGGCTCAGATTGTTATTACAAGTGAAGAATAAGACCGTTTCAAACAGTCGCTATGTTGCTCTTGTCAGACACCAGACTCCATTGATAAAAACAGTGATTTTACCTCTGTGGTCCAGCGCTGCCTTGATCGGTTAGTTTGTGTTATTGTGTAACTGTGGGGTTTCTAACCCTTTAAAACACACAAGTCACACAAATTAAAAAACCAAAGTCACAAAATGACACAAACTAACCAGCAACTTCCATGTTCTGCAAATTTTACTGTTAGTGAAAATTACCGTTTTTATCAATGGAGTCCGGTTTTGAGGAGATCTTTATAGCGACTTATGTTAATAATTTCACCCAGAACTACAAGTAAAAAGGGATCACGTCGGATATATCAAATTATATTTTAGTACTCAGTAATCGGCTCTTCCCCGCCCCGCTCAGGTTTCTCCAGGCTCTCATTGGTCGACCAGATGTCACTGCTGCAGAGCGGTTGGATGGAGGCGCTGCTTGTGGGCGTGGCCTGGCGGTCGCAGGGCGCGGCGGCGGAGGAGATCGTGTTCGCCGGGAACCTGCGGCTGGACGAGGCCCAGTGTCGAGCCGCGGGACTGGCCGAGCTCTATAAGGCCGTGCGTCACCTGACGGCGAGATACCAGGCGATGAACCTGAGCCCCGAGGAGGCCGTGACGCTGAAGGCCATGGCGCTCGCTAACTCAGGTTAGCACACGTTGCTAATTACACTCTTTTGAACTGGGGTGACAGCTGGCCGCCCTGTTATTGATTTACAATTATAAAAGAGGGGGGAGGAGTGGTTATTGATATTGATTGGAGGCTGGGAGCTGAAGCATCACGGTATTGATTAGTTACACAAACACAAATGTTTTCTTGAGTCCTACGATTTCATTCTGTTATTCTATATTTTTATTTTCAACAAATCTCATGTTCTGACTTTAACCAACAACATGTCGGTCCGTCTCAATGCTTCCTGACAGAAATGAAGTTTCACGTTTGAAACGGCTCAGTAATTCCCTAAAACACGTTAGTGGGGTCAGTTGTTGTTGATGCTAACGATGCTAACAGTGGAGGGACAGCAGTTGATCAATAACATCAGACTGGCTGTGTATGACTGCATTTAACGCTCCCGTGGAAGCAGTGCATGATGGGACGCTGGCTGGTCCTTCCAGCTAAAGTGTGGTCAGTCTCCCACTGTCTGAGCCTCGGATCAATAAGCTGTGTTGATGACTCTGTCCTGGATCTATAGTTTCAACGGTCTGCCGGAGGACGCAGCCACAGCCTGACCTTCAACTGTGTCCCTCTCTCTGTGGCAGTTTGTGTCTCTCTCCTTCTGTCCGTCTCTTTCTCTGTTGCCAAAGCTCAAAGTATCATATAAACAATAACATTTAAAAAAGACCTAAAAACGAAATTTATCTTGCATTTCAAATATGTCCAGCAGTAACATATTCACCTGCCATGGAACAATTATTAAAATGACAAATAAAATAATAATTAATTCTAATTATTAGGTCATTTTATACGTGCACTGGTTTTTCTCAGTTCGTGGTGTGACGGGAAATTATTTATTTACTTCTGTGTGTCTGGTTTAGGTTGGAATTAAAGATTTATATGGGAAATTGTTTTCTGGTAAAGTATATAGCGTTAAGTGTAGCTCTGTCTCTACCCGTCCCCTCCGAGTCGCTACCAGAGTTTCTACCCAACCCTCCTGAATCTCTACCTGTCCCCTCCGAGTCTTTACCCAACCCTCCTGAATCTCTACCCGTCCCCTCCTGAATCTCTACCCGTCCCCTCCTGAATCTCTACCCAACCCTCCTGAGTCTCTACCTGTCCCCTCCTGAATATCTACCCAACTCTCCTGAATCTCTACCTGTCCCCTCCGAGTCTTTACCCAACCCTCCTGAATCTCTACCTGTCCCCTCCGAGTCTTTACCCAACCCTCCTGAATCTCTACCTGTCCCCTCCTGAATCTCTACCTGTCCCCTCCTGAATCTCTACCTGTCCCCTCCTGAATCTCTACCTGTCACCTCCTGAATCTCTACCTGTCCCCTCCTGAATATCTACCCAACTCTCCTGAATCTCTACCTGTCCCCTCCTGAATATCTACCCAACTCTCCTGAATCTCTACCTGTCCCCTCCGAGTCTTTACCCAACCCTCCTGAATCTCTACCTGTCCCCTCCGAGTCTTTACCCAACCCTCCTGAATCTCTACCTGTCCCCTCCTGAATCTCTACCTGTCCCCTCCTGAATCTCTACCCGTCCCCTCCTGAATCTCTACCCAACTCTCCTGAATCTCTACCTGTCCCCTCCGAGTCTTTACCCAACCCTCCTGAATCTCTACCTGTCCCCTCCTGAATCTCTACCTGTCCCCTCCTGAATCTCTACCTGTCCCCTCCGAGTCTCTACCCAACCCTCCTGAATCTCTACTTGTCCCCTCCTGAATCTCTACCCAACCCTCCTGAATCTCTACCTGTCCCCTCCTGAATCTCTACCCAACCCTCCTGAATCTCTACCTGTCCCCTCCTGAGTCTCTACCCGAGTCTCTACCCAACCCTCCTGAATCTCTACCCGAGTCTCTACCTTTCCCCTCGAGTCTCTTAAAAAGTACAAAGAAATATTCTACAACTCGAAATAGTTGCAGATTACCCAAAGTTGCTGTTACCTTGTCTGTGGTCCGCTGGCAGAACATCGGCTGCTTTCTGATCAGATGAAGTCGTGCTGTCGCCGAGGCGACATAAGTTTTGTTTTACGGTGGATGGACGGTAACATTACAGAGTAACGTCGAACATCGTCGTGTTCACAGCGTAAGCACGATGTGCGACAGTAATAAATGTCCATGTGAAACAGTGCGCTTTATAGTTATATGGATTAAACGAATCCTCAATGCAAAGAATTTGAGTTCAATTCATCGATGAATTGTTTCAGCCCTAATGTTTGGTGTTGCAACTAAAATAAAGTACTAATACCTCAAAATTGTACACAACAATGTACTTACCTCACTGAGTGTCCTCTCTCTGTCCGTCCGTCAGATGCCGACCCGGTGGACTGTCCTGACTCGGTGCAGAGGTTCCAGGACGGGCTCCACGAGGCCCTGCAGGAGTACGAGTCGACCCGCAGAGAGCAGCACCGGGCGGGCCGGCTCCTGATGAGCCTCCCCCTCCTGAGACAGACGGCCGACCGAGCCGTGGAGGCCTTCCTGTGGCTGCACCGCCACCGCTGCGTCCCCCTCCACAAACTGCTGCTGGAGATGCTGGACGCCAAGGCCTGAACCCCTGAGACCACGTAGGAGAGGACAGACATGGACTGTACGCCATCGCTCTGAGACCACGTCACCATCAACAGATGACGGACTGTACGCCATCGCTCTGAGGACGCATCTGAAATGCTACATGTTTAAATGTTGCTATTTTTGAACTGAGTTTGATTACAGTCACCTAATAAAAGTGCTAACGTTAACCTAAACTCTGACAAACTAGCATCTAACCGCCCCCCCCCGCCCATAGTGGCTCCAAGTACTATAGAGAGCCTAAGTCCCTCCCCTACCGGTGGACCACCATGGGACCTTACTTTAGAAAAACGGTAGTTAACGGCAAGAGACAATTTTTTGATCCTATTTGAATTGTGCTCTGAATTTCACACGGTCAATTTAAAAGTCAGTAAAGTCGCAGTTTAATGTAAAACTGTTGTATCAGACTGTGAAAACACATAATTACCAATGTAACTTTTTCTCTCAATGACTGAAGCTAACGTCAAAGAACATGGCTTAGTAACCTAGCTAGCAGCAACTAAGCAATGAACGTTAGCTTAGCATTACCGCGTTAACATGTTGGTGACGTAAATTGTGAGATGAGACATGTAGTTCATTGGATCGGTTTTCACACAAAATGACATGTAACTTTACTGTTTCCTGACAGACAAAATTATCTTTTAAATTAACAAACATCGTGTGTGATTCAGGGCTCAGGATCAAAATATAACTTGTCTCTCGCTGTGAGACGCCCCTTTGTCTTTGGAATTAACACTAGGTCACTACTGTAGGCCGTAAGCTAGTTAGCCGCATATGCTAACGTTAGGGCAGATAAACAATTCTGTTCGTTAATTAAAAAAAACACAAGGGAAACAAACTCTTGACGCGCCTGCTGCTAGAAATGTTTGGACAATCACTGTTTGGGGGGCGGGGTTTTTAGAGAGCAGTCAGTAAAATACGATTAAACTCACCCCTCTCATCATCCTCATCTGAAACTGGACAGATTTTACATTTCTGATCCATTTTTGTAAAAGAAAACAAGATATTTTTGTGTGAACTATTTTCTCAGCGTGTGATCTGTGTTTTACTTTGAGCCACGACGACAGACTTTTATTTTGTTGTTCAAAGACGATTTTTGTAACTCTGCTGATTATTGATTGGCAGCTGATTAGTCTGAACTCTAGTTTGTATTTGCAGATTTAATTAAACGATTTTGGAATAAACAGGTTTCTAACTTCAGTTGTTTTGAAATGACTCCCCCCCCCGTCACATTTTCACAAGTCAAGTATTTTATTTATTTTTTAATACAAAGACAATCTGACGTATCAAGCAGCTTCAGATAGAAATATTAAAAAACCTCCTCAGAGCTGACCTGAGTTCAGCCGTAACAAGAGTTGCTCTATGAGCCGTTAGCGTGACTGGATTTAATAAAGTTTAATGTTCAAAACAGCAGAAAACAGACAGACAGGAACAGTTCAGAGCCACAAATGCTGCATTCACAGGTCGTAGGAAACATGGAAATCCAAAATGAAACAAAATATTTTCTATTACAGGACTGAATTCTGATTTTATAAAACGTTGGACTATAACTAATTAATTTTTTTTCTTTTAATCATCTTGTCCATAAAATGTCCGAAAATAGTGAAAATCCTCATCGTGATTCTACAAGACGACATTTTTAAAATAAAAAGCAAGAAGAGCCACAACTAGAAAGAACTTAACAAAGTTGAAAATATGTAATGAAATAAAAAAAGTCCAATGACAGTTATTACATTTATGAAGAACAATTTCAAAATGTTTTAATATCTTAATTTTTATACAATTTGCTCATGTTAATTTCATAATGTTTTTATTCATTTAATACTGAACTCTTATCAATTATTAGCCTGATTTTGCTTTTTCCTCTTAAAAGCATTTATGATTTTAAGCCACAAACGGAATAAAAGACGTAGCCCCTGTGACGTCACCCATTGGTAAATGGGCCGCCATTTTCAAGGCTCGAGATTCAAATTTATCTAGCTGCGGCCGTGTAGAGCCTCCAACCCAAACCCATCATCATAATTTATTAGCAGGAAGGAAGTAAAGCCGCAGGATTACCGGTTAGCAAGCCAAACTTAATTAAAATGCAAAAAATAAACTAAACTATTTACACTGCAGAAACAGACTAATCTGTAATACAGTCAACAACCTAAATAATGTATAAATAAAACTAAGATTTTCACTAAAGAGGTGGTATTCTGCTCATTTTCAGGTTCAAAATCCTTTACATGCACAAAAAAGATAATCTCAATAAAGGAGAGGGGAAAAGCCAAAAAGCACAAAGCCACCTCTTTAACCATATTTTGCCACACGTTATTTTATACCGTCTGTGTTTTAAACTTAAATAAAATATTATAATAAAATGGTCCAGTTGAGTTTCTGTGTGGCTCTGAACGTTCACATCACAGACCGGAGAACAAAAAGGTACAAACTTAAAAGCTTAATGCTGAAAGCTGCTACATGTGTAAAGAAAACGTGTGATTTCAGTGAAAAGTCCACAAAGATGAAAGAAACACCAGAGAAATAAAAACCCAAAGTGTCAAAGTTACAAACGGGGAACTCACAGGAGGTTTGGACGGCGGACGACTCTGCTTCACGGGTTCATATTTTCCTTTTAATAATTTCTCTGAAAGTCTCCTGGAAAGAACGTCATCATGTGGAACTGATTCAGGGTTTCTGCCAATCACGCTGTCACAAGTGTGAACGCTTGATGCAAAACCAAACAATACAGACGGAGACAGAATTATTTATAATTATCTCTCATTTGTTGTTTGCATTACTTTGCAGCAGAACATAAGAATAATTTCTAATGATAGAATTAATTAAATTAATCCGGATAAGCACTGATATTGTGGGAAGTGTAGTGTAGAAATACTCTAGTTACTCTAATACTGTAGTTAAAGTCCTGCTTATAAAATGTTACTGAAAAAGTTTTAAAATCAAAACATAGTTAAAGTACAAAAAGTAAAAATACTTATAATGCAGGATTCTTAACTATAATATTACATCATAATCTATTTATTAATATGAATCTGAAAAGTAATTCATGTCAGATAAATGTAGTGAAGTAGAAGTTCTGACAAGTAAAGTACACGTACATGAAAAATTGACTTGACTGCAGTACTTGAATAAATACACTTTGTTAAATTCCACCACAGTAGTACACCAAAATAATTAATGCCTAAAGAGTGTAACAGGTAAACGTACAATAACATCAACATAAAGAATGTTTTCAATAATTAATTAATCTTTTATTAATATTTTTGGGGGGGTTTAAACGGAGCTTTCAAAGAAATCTTTTTTTCCTGTAATTAGTTTCCACAAAACAAAAGATCTTTCCAGGTAAAAGTGTTGCTGAAATTTCCCATCAGCATCTTTTCGTCTGTCGGTGTTAATTTGGCAGCAAAAGCAGAGCTGAAAGCTGATTGGCTGTCACTGTGAGGCGTTCAGGCTTGGCGAAAAGACAAACTGAAGACGACGTGTTTTCCTTCATCACAGTGTGAATTTACAAAAAAATATAGTTTCTATACAAACTTGATCAGACGGTTGAATAGAAAAGGGTCCCGGTTAGAGAAACTTACCTGCAAAACAAAAAATAAACAAACTTTTCTCCTCCGTTGCTTAAAAAAGCTACGTTAATTTATGAAAACAACGCGTCCTTGATTTCACCTCCCAGGAGTTTATAAAAAGTCTCTTTCCTGGACGACGACTTACGGAAGCCCATTTCTGCCACTGTGATGAAACCAATGAAAAGATCCTGTTAGTTATTCTAATGAGTTAATATCTCAAAATAATGACTTTTTAAATAGTAAGCCAATATTATGGAGGTACTAACTCAATATTTTGAGAATGTTACTCATTATTTTGAGGAAATTAATAATTTTGCAGGACTTTTTTTTTTCTCCCCCCCATCACAGTGGCAGAAATGGGCTTCCATAACGACTGGATTTTAAGCTAATGCTAGCACTAAAAACTCTGCGGTAAGACAAACACAGATGTGTCTTCAAACAGTTTGCTTCACTTTTAAAAAGAGAAAAGTATTTGAGGAGAAAACTGTTTGGAAAGTGCTAGCGTAGCTGCTAACGCTAATATAGCACAGTAGGACTACCTATCGCTGCCACACAAGAACATGGTGTTTCTTCATGTCAGCTGTTAGCTTTAGCTTCAGTCTGTTAGCATGACATCATGTATGTAGCCATAAAATGAGTCAGCCGGAGACGTTTTCAACCAACTCATGGCGCTAACATTAGCACAATTAGCTAGCTAGCTAGCTCGCTCGCTCGCTGTTTACTGGAAGCTGCTTTTGTTTACTTCTGTCTGAAATCCATCACATGCCGTGTGAGAACAGGTAGATTGACAGGACAGCGACAATAACTGAGGGAGGCGGAGCTTAATGAACAGTCCTGTTCACGTGACACCGAGTCATTTCTTTTATTGATATTGTAGAAATATTGATTAGTGCGTCTTTAGGACAACAGTCGAGACTTTCAGCTGTTTTTACTCCCACCTGACGTTGGGTAGCTAGCCGTGATCCCGTGAGCTGGACGCCAGGAAACAACCAACCAGCATCTGGTAACTATGGCAACAGAACTGTATTCAGCCGCTGATTAAGGACAAACCCGCGGAAACATGAATCCGCTCTCAGGATCAACTGTCGGGTTCATGAGTCTCAGACAGAACAGCCAATCAGAAGCTGGTCTCGTTCATGTGTGGTTTGGGGCTGGTGGGCGGGCCGACGGCGGGGCTGTCTGGACTCGCCGGGCTTTCCGGTGAAGCCGGGACATCAGCAGGAGACGTTGCACGAGACGCTGCAGCAGGGCGACAAGGCGAGGCAGGCGCCTGAGACCGGGTCGGGCTCATGGCTGGAGGTGGGGCGGGGCTTGTTGGGGAAATAGGCGTGGACCTGCGGTGTGATGAAGATGAGGACAGCGGTGATGATGATGACAGTGACGAAGGTGTTCCTGAGGAGTGGCGTGCACCGGGCGACACAGAGAAGGTGGTGGGGGTCCTGAGGCCGAACCTAGCCTCTAACTCGCTGCACACCGCTAAGCTCCGTCTGACACCCTCCGTTCCCGCCGGGACCCCGAACCCTGAGCCGGCCTCTGAACCCTTGGCGCGCTCCTGGCAGCGTTCCACAAAGCTCCCCCTTCGGAGAGACCCCCACTCCCGGTCTCGGTCCGGGTGTCTGGGGAGCCGGGGGCTGGCGGTCGGGCCGGTGCCGGAGTTGTGGCCGTAGGCTGGGATGGTTAGTGTGTGCGGCCCGACCCCAGCTGATAGGCCGCAGTCTCTGACCGGTTTGGTGAGGGGCACGGGGGGCGGAGCCTGGCGGGGGAGGCTGCCGCACAGCGAAGCGGACGAACCCGAAGCTCCGGCTGCTCGTCCTCCCGCTGCAGGGTGGAGACGCTCCGTCCTGAAGACGTCGCTGAGCTGAGAGTGAAGACTGGTGGAACAGGAAGTCACAAGAGTCAACAGCAAGGTTGACGGTCGGGTGAGGGTCACATGACCAAGGTGTTTATTTGTTATTGGGGTGTGTGTGTGTGTGTGTACCTGCAGGTGGAGGCTCTAGGTGTGCTGTCAGGTGTTCTGGTCAGAGCCAGGTCGCACTGGTCCAACAGCTCCAGCAGCTCCTCCTCGGTCGGCCCGCCCAGCGCTACGAAACAACCAATGAGAGCCCACATCACTCACCGACCAATCACAGAGCATTAAAGCTACATCGATTTTGAGAAACCTGTCCTCAATAATGTTGCGTCCCACCTCTGATGTCGACCTTGCCAGCGATGTCCATGGCGGTGGTCAGGTCCCACATCTGGATGCTGCCGTTGCTGTGACCGCTGAACAGGTACCGACGGGGCCGAGAGCCGATGCGACTCGAGCCCTCGCACTCGTGGACCATGAAGGCCGTGATGGAGGTGCCGTCCACCGAGCGCACCTCACACACCCTGACACACACACACACACACACACGAGCAAATCTTGTTTATATAAAGAAAATCATTTTATTTGAAAATAAGTTTAATAAAAACACACTGAATAAAATAAAACAAGGCAGGTTGTTGGTTTTTCTCGTGGGTTTATATCAACATTTAAAGTGGCAGAACTGAAAATAAGACGTTTTTAGGACGAATTTCTAGGGAAAAACACGTAATGGTTCTCAATTCAAATCAGCTTTATTGGCATGAATGTATCACAACAATATTGCC